AGGTGAGAGTGAAATTCCCGATAAGTGGTGTGGGACGACGTTGTACTTTTAATGTACCAGATCGAATAGCATAGCATTATATATAAGCGCAGTGATTCGCCAATCAAAATAGCGCTAGCACGGCGTCACACGATCTAGCTGAGAGGGAATGTGCCCACATTTCGTGCGATCTTCCAAAGCCGTGGAAACGTGAAAAAATGTCTGGACAGAAGCGATGTGCATATGCTGCTGGCTTTAAATTGAAAGTTATCGCGTTTGCCGAGCAATCTAATAATTGTATGGCTGCACGCCATTTCACGGTGAATGAAAAGCAAGTGAGAGAATGGCGAAAGGAAGAGTAATATTGTCATGGATACCTGTAGGCACGAGAGCAGCATGCGGTAGAACAACCATGTTTCCTGCACTGGAGGAAAAGTTAGTGTAGTGGGTTATGGAGTCACGGCACAGCGGGTTAATTGTTACCCGAACGAACATTCGGATCAGGGCGCTCACAGTGTTAAAAAGTCCGGAATTCCAGCCAACAAAACCGGTGAATTTGGTTGCTTCCTCCGGATGGTGCAATCGTTTGATGAACCGATTCGAGATGTGTCCACGGACCCGCACAAAACTAGCCCAGAAACTGCCGAAGGAATTGGACAGTAAAGTTGAAAATTTCAAAGGTTCGTGATTCAGCTAAGAAAGCAATACGACTTTGAACCGTTCCAAATAGGAAATATGGACGAGACGCCCGTGTGCTTTGATATGCCATCAAATCGCACGGTGGAGCAGAAAGGTGCTAACACAGTTTTTGTAAAGACGACGAAACACGAGAAGACACGGTTCACAGTGTTTTAGGGTGTATGGCAGATGGTTTCGTCTATCACCTTTCATTATTTTTAAGCGTAAGGCGCTGCCTAAAGGAACGAAGTTTCCAAGCGGCGTGTTTGTGCGGCCTCGCGTATGTCAAAAGGCGAAGCAACATGAACTCGTGCATCCCAGTGTTGTTTGGCCCTGACGGCACTGTTGCCGTCACAGATCACGGAAAAGCTTGTTTTCCCGGAGGACAGTATGCTGGGGTTTATGTTCGAGAGTCGCAGCTGCCGCATATCAGCCTGCAGACAAAAGTTCCTGAGGGCTCCAACTTGGAGGACGTTTCCATAACGGAGACTCAAGTGCTCCGGCTTCTGAGGGAATTAAATCCCAAGAAAGCTGCTGGTGTGGATGTTATTTATCCCAAACTGTTGTACGAGTTGGCTGATGAACATTGCCGTCCGATTACACAACTTTTTGTGAAGTCTCTACGCAGCTAATCTCTACCCAAGGACTGGAAGGAGGCTATTGTTTGTCCGATTTTTAAGAAAGGTGATAAGCACCTCCCTGATAACTGTAGACCGGTCAGTTTGACGAGCGTACTGGTTAAGTTGTTGGAAAAACTCGTGAGAAACGCTCTCGAAGGACACTTGAGTTGCTTAATCCTTCTCAGCACGGCTTTCGTAAGGGCTATTCTTGCCTTAGTAACTTGTTAACGGCTCGTGAACACTTCACTTCACTTCATACGTTAATGACCTACCCGATGAATTGGGTGTGCCATCCCTAATGTTTGCGGATGACTTGAAACTCTGGTTCACGATAGACGATCCGATTAGTCCACTGACCCTACAGAGCGCTCTGGATAGACTTTGGGACTGGTCAATTTTGTGGCAGTTGCCCGTCAAGTTAGCGAAATGTTCATTTTTACGCGTTGGTCCGAATGACTCGTCGAAGTGTTATTTGCTTGGCGGCAACGAGGTACCGCGAGTTCAACTCCAATCTGACCTCGGTGTTTTGGTGTCATCTGACTTTAACTCCAGTGAACACTGGACGACAGCTGCTCGCAAAGGTTTCAGCATGTTGTGAATGATCCGCAGGTCATTCGGGATCATGACCACCGAAATGTTCGGTAGACTATCTTCGGCTTTTGTAAGGCCGCACTTGGATTGCTTCGTTCAGACTTGTCCTCCATGCCTGGTTCGTGATAAGATGGCAATTGAACGAGTCCTGCAGTCCGGGACGAAAGTGGTGCACGGATTAAAGAAGCTGACGTACCCGGAGAGGTTACGTAAGTTGGATGTTTTCTATGTAGTACAGGCGGCTTCGGTGCGTCTTGCTCCTCACATATCGTATACTGATGGGTCAGATTGGTCCTGATTTGACTGAACTGTTTCGCCCAACCCGAGCGCCAACCCTTCGTGGCCACAAATTAAAGTTGCACAAACCCCGGTCTGACCGGGTTTGCGCAGATTTTTGGTTATCGCGTAGGGTCATAGCTTATTGGAACGCACTGCCTGCAGACGTCGTGATGGCACAGACGGTAAAAGAGTTCGAGCATCCACTTGACGCTCTCGGTTTGCAGTTTAATGTCTTACCCTTCATGTCTTAAACTTTCGTTCGTCTAGTACGGCCTACGCTTCTTTAACTCATTTTAACTTACATCTTAATATTGTCTACGAAATTCGATAAGGTTGTCTTCTCCCTTGTTTCCTTTCCTTTAGTGACACTACTGTTTTCTTTTATTCTTCGTGTGGCCCGCACAGCCGGGACTGCTAGTGCGGGGCACGTGGGTATTGTTTGGTTGACCATGTGAATTGTGTGGGTTGATTTGGCTTTCCTTTGGCACATCAATGCACAGGTTTCCCTGTTGGATCAACGACGTTTTTGAAGGTGGAACATTCGTGGGATTTTCCTACTGTTCCGGTCCTACTTGAACTTGAACTTACTATCCATCCAGAGCTTAATTACAAGTTGTCTGCTTAGTTGAAGTATTCACCGATAGTTCGTTCATATCCATCTACGTATACTTTGATACTCAGGCTCTCAGACTCGATGAAGTAACCGACATCTCACCACCCACGCACCATTCTCGCGTCAGTAACTCACATCCGAGCTGCTTCCTAGTAGATAGATGGTTGGACCGAATGTATACGGAATGCGCTCAAAATGAGCAGAAAAAGGAGATACAAACCCATTGAAAATTTACTCATGCAGGTATCTAAGGCCGGTTTAGCTTCAAGAAACTTGGAAAGCTGTACCAACGTACCAACGTCGCCCGCTGAACCGTCTGGATACGCCACAAGGGTTGATATCACGCTTCCCAGAAGCGAGGGGGTCCAGTGAGAAGAGGCGATGTTGAAGTAGAGAACTGCACGTTTTGGGGGACTTCTGCTGAAAGAAGAACGATGTTATTCATTGGCTGGTCCAGTGGCCCTTAACAGTCGTATGGTACACGGTGATTGGTGAGTATCGTCCAATACCGAAGAAGGCCTATCTCTGGGGATCATCGAGTTGCTGTCGCTCCTGACTTGTCCAAGCGTCTTACTCGTGAGAGGAACAATGAAAGCCAAATTGCCTTCAGCTCTAGTAAGATATGTATAGACGATAAATCGACACATCATCAGATGTCTGACATCGTCATGCTTACACGAACGGTCCATAGAAGTCGTCCTGCTTAGTCTGAAGGTGATCATCGCCTCGCCCGGTTACGGCTGTTTATAGTGCTGTCCACCACAAAAGGACTGAGAGTAACTTTCACGATATTGCATAACGTCTATAAGGTGGTGGCTAAGCCAGCTAAGAAATGACGGGAGACCCTCCTTGCCCACGTTAAATTGGAGACGCTAGTTGTCCTGTCTCTTGTCCGTCTTTAACTATCGATCCAAATGATCAAAAACGACTAGACTCCGGATACCACTTTATCTTGGAATGAAAATGCTGCTGCATTCCCTGGACAGTAAGATGGGAGCATACAGAGGTCACCGTTCTTTTGACATCAGATGGAATGTGCGGTTGTTCCAGGTGAATCCTGACTCGCGTCACTAAAGCAGTATTAACATGCACGAAAATGTTAATGGTAATAAGAGCAAGCATTCAAGAAGAATCACCAGGGAGCAAAATCATTAGGTGGAAGAAGAAATGATGAGACTAGTTCGTGGCTACGTCATATTCGATATCGATCTAACCACTGATGAAGTTTAGTTGGGAGGAAGACACGTGTCAGCCCAACTCAGCCTTGCAGCGGGATTCGTCGTGCCGTTTTGCCACGACATCGAGTGATCTCTCCGGGGTTACACATTCAACTAGATGCAGTATGGGTGGAAAAAAATATGCGTCGGCGTGAACGACTCGACGTGGCCAGCAGCACATAAGCTGTTAGAATCCAACAAGGTATCAGAAAGTGTGCTGCCAAACACAAAATGACGAAGTTCAGTGTTTCTCATTCGGTGCTGCCATCAGATGTGAGCAAACGCTCACGAGAGTAGAGAGGAACCTTTAGACATCGCATGACTGTTCAAATCCATGGCTAGCCGGGTCGCTGAAGAAGTGAACATGGATATCGGAATGGACCGTGTGGGTGATACTCAACGCACCAAATATCAATGGAGAAAGACAAAAATCGTCTGAGCGATAAAGTTCTATGTGCACAATATGGTTGTGCCGCCAGCGCCAATTCGTACGATGGGTGACCAACGGTTATTGCTGACCAGCGGTGTACAAAAATCGGCATTCCCAGCCGAAGGACGTAACAGATGGATATTTCTTATCTACGTCAGCTGCTGTTCGGCTAGATAATAACTTAAGTTGTTTTAGATCGCCCGATAAACCAGCACCACATACGCCGTTTGAACCATGCTTCACAAGCTTGTCGCAATCCGAGTGTCTTGTTCAAGAAGAGAATGTGGCCAGCTAAACGAGATTCCAAGGTGGCAGAGCGACGACGAAACTCACCAAGGAACTCATTCGAACGTAATCTTGTTAATTCCACATGTCGGAGCTCCTGAATGAAAACGCCAACTGATATGACGCTCTAAGGAAGCCAGCGGGTGACTTGCACTCGTTGGCTTTTCTGTTCCTTTATCATGGGCAATTTTGTCAACGCCATGGAGCGTGGTATACCTCGATTCGGTGTGCGCATCAAGGTTAGTAATTCGAGCGAAAGATAAAAACGGATAGATGACTGATAGATAGTTAAACGCTGAAACACTTACGCGCACCAACAGACCGTCTTTATCTGTCATGTAGATGATTCGATGTGCTTCGCGTTTGCTGAGGCCCTCCAGCTGTAAGGCCTTCGCAAGCATCTGAGCGATACCACTGCCTGCCTGGAATGGAGAACAGATGACAGACGGAAGTGTCTTGTGAGTAGGTAGTACATAAGAGAAGAGTGGATCGGAAACGAGTTCAGTTTCAGTGAGAAACCAGTGAGGTCTATCAATAGCCACAGTCTGGTGGGCGAGATTAGACTGAATAAGATTAGATAATGATGTAGTGATCACCGCAGTGAAAAAACGGCATCTTTGACACTTTCGTCGTACCTCTCCAGCCCCGACAAAGAGGAATACATTGTCTTTCAAATTGCGTTGAGTAATCCTGCCCGCGGCCAGAAGTCCAGCCACAGTCACAGCGGCTGTGCCTGCAGAATGAAAGTAGGGAATAAAACGAATTAAATCCGAGCGGATTCTATGCGTGTGAATACGATGAGTATATAGCATCTAAGAGAATAACACATCATCACAGTTCGAGTAAAAGTAATGTAGGCTTTCAAATCTCCCGATGAACAGGCTGAGATGCATGATGCAAGATCATGAACCCAAGGAAGCAGGTGTCGGTGATCGGTCCGAATTTCTCACGTCGAACATCCTCTATCCGAATACCACTATGAAGTAAATTTATTGTGTTCAAAGTCAAGATAGGTGTACACGGAAAATGGGATCGTACTGAGTAAAACTGAGCCAGGGTGGTGGACAAAATCCGAGTTGTGATCATAATGTCAGCAGCTGCCAACTTCGTCGGAATGGAGCAACATGGTGAGCGTCCATAGAATGATAAGTGTAGACCGCTAGCCACGAAGTCGACCACATCAAGTACGGAAGAAATCGCTATGGGGAGCCGGTTCGTACAGTGAGTGAAGGTAACAGAAGTTGAGACATTTTGTTAGTCGCCAAATGTGCATTTGCTAATGAAAAGATCAATCATTATGAGGGTTGGCTGCACACCAAAGGGGAACAGTGAGCAAAGCTATCTCACCTAGGTGGAATCATTCCAGTCCAGTTAAAGGACTCGGATCAGAGTGCCGAACTGCGGTGGGATCCGAATTGTTACCTACCAATCGCGCTGCCGGGATAATAATAACTGCGATGTGATTTTCTGTCATGGTAGTGATCCAATCGCTCATTGCTCATCCCTTGGTTCCATAAGTAGATCAGTCCCAATCTCTTAATATTTATCCTGAATCTTAAAGCAGTCAATAACACTTGTAGGTAACTAGTGTCAAACGTCATTCGGTCGCCGACGATCAAAGCTCACAATGCCGGCGGCAACCAGGTATGTAGATGCTTCATTAAGGGGTGAGAGCGACGGAGGCCGGTTAACTCAGTAGGATGACTGGTGTTGACAGTGGATCGGGTCGACACTTTCTAAACGTAATGCATTAGAAATGGCGAAAGACAGACCACACACGTAGTTGGCAATTTCGGGGGGATGGTGCACCAATGGTGCACTCTGATCCATACCCTGAGAGCGAGAAGATGACTAATTACAACAGGGGACCGAAAATCCAATCCATTCGATTACTCACTGTGAACCCCAGATTCCATTTCCGTTGCAGCATATGGCAGGCCAGCATGCCATCATGTGAGACAATGTGAATTACCCACTGTGAACTATGGAACAGTATCGCCGATGTGTGGGTAGCACGTACTGTTTGCTGTGAGTGTTTCGGCAAACATTGAAGTGACAATGAGTTTCGCACGATAGCAGGCAAGAGTGTCACATGCGAAGCGAGTTAAGAAGTATGATCGAAAAGTTTGGCGAGCGGTCAAGTGGCTTCCGATTCTCCAGTTCTAGTTCTCCTTTCTCTCTGATCTGAATACAATTGTTCCTAGGATAGGGTTTCTGCTAATCACAAATAATTTGTGCAATACTAATAAAGTAGTGTATTATGCATAATTGTGTATTAGTCGTTTGATTTCAGTGGATCTGTGTCGGAATCAAACATTTGAGATTACCCGTGAACTGGTAGGAAATGATAATGAAAGGCCAAAAGAAAGATTTTCGCAAAAACGTCCCCGTTGTACCCCGGCATAACCCCAAACATTGATAGCCCTGCATGCGTGAGCATATTCCACATGTAAATACGAACAGAAATAATACAAATTCGCCCTTACGGATTCCATAAATGCTATGTCGATTCATAGCTGCCGTAATCGGGAAGTCCTGACGCCGGAAGGCCAACCGCTGTCATCTGCATGGCAGTGGAGGATGGGTCGGGCTATATCGCAGTTAGGTGACAATTCGCGATGGTCGGCTGCCGTACCCCATGGCTCCGTTGCATAAGCTGCGGAGTAGTTGGCACAAGCCACTAGCAGTCATGGGTCTGATCCTCCGTAGAGGACCGAAGGATGTGCACCACTTAGGAGCCCCAATAGGGCGAAACGGCCGTATGGTGCTTTTCCGGATAGGTAGGTGACTTATCTGAATTGTCGGCTGACTGCGACGAACAAAAATACGAACAGAAACTTTGTGGGCACCGTCTTTCGGTACCACGAGAAACCTACATTACTATGATTAACAGGAACGCCTGAACAAGAATGATGTTAGCTGAAAGACAGCAGTATAATCACGCTGTGCCACACAGCACCCGCCACTTCATCCGATGGAGTGCGCGCCCTGGGTACCTCCCGTGGACTCGACTTTTCCGCTGCCTGAGTTGCACTCAAAGTAAAGACTTGGTCAGTCGACTTCAACATTATCATCTGGGGGTAGCCCTAACACTTATCGCAACTCGCAGTGCTTGAACGCAGATGCGGCACACCAAATCACTTGAATGTACACTTCGCTAATATCATCAAGTTAGATTGGTATTCTTGTTGGACGAGCTGGCTTCAGAAGGTGTTAACCCGCTAAAACGACGGACGAATAGGCAGTCCACTGTGTCATGATTTTGTGATGTAGACGGAGGTGTTACACACGCTTCCCAGTGGAGACAGGACAAACACTGGGGCACCATTTACACACAGTAGATAAGCGCTCGACTTTTGTGTAGATTTGTCACGGCTAGACGGTCACTACACATCCATGGGAGCAGTAGATGACCGCTTCGTCCTATTGGGACTCGTCAGTAGCGCGAACCCATCGGGTTCGAACCCATGACTTTGTTCTTACGAGTAAACGGCTTGTCACTGTGCCACAGGTGACGGACCGCTATGACTGAGTGCCAACAACGATATAGCGCGGCTCATTCTCCACTACCATGTATGTTATGAACATGCAGAAGACAGAGCTGTGACTGCTTATGCAAGCCGTCACTAATTGAAGGGGAATGCAGGTTGGTAAGGCGATTACTGATTCTCTGTGGATAGTAGGAGAGTTATTGAGTTTTTCTTGAGAAATCATTCATAGCGGTCCACCGCCGTCACGCATGGCTTAATGATATAAGCCGCTGACTTGTAAGAATAAGACCATGGGCTCGAATCCGGCGGATGCACGCTACTGAAGATTCCCAGCAGGACGAAATGGACGTCTAGCGCTTTCCTGGATGCGTGGTGGCTGTCTGGTTCAGTCCAACTGCGACGAAGCTTTCAAAGGTATAATAAACCCGTACTACTCACTAATGGGCGTTTGGTTCCTTGTTACTGCTCCAGAATCCCACTACTTTCCGATTACCGGAGGCGAGGCACAAAAGATCGAACGGGTCCAACACGTTTCTACCAGGCTGATCCCGAGTTTACGTGGCTTTGGGTATGAAGACCGGTGCGAGAAACTAGGACTCTACACCTTGTCCTACCGTCGGGTGCGAGTCGACCTCATTATGACTTACCGTATTCTACATCTCGGTGACTTTCCAATGCTAAGGCCAATGCTGCACTTACGAGGGCCATGCAGCACACGCGGACACAGATACAAACTTGTCGTGCCGGATGTGAAATGTGTTCCCCACCCACTGTGCTTCGAACGAAGAGTGGTAAACATTTGAACCGTTTGCCTGAACATGTGATTGAGGCAACATCTCTGCAGAGGTTCAAAAAGTTGTTAGATTTGTATTTTGCCACTATTCGATTCAGAGAACGATTGCACACTTACGATGACATATCACATTTGGGAATCCTGAAATATCGTAAGTCGAATATGTTAAATATTACATGAGAACGACAATGACATTCACGGTTGACAACTTTTATAACGTTTTCCACCATATTTCGAAAGAGTTGTACAGAATCCATTTCTATTTGCTCTATAATACAGTATTCAGTATTGAATTGCTCTGGATATAAATATAACCAGCTTCGAGGAGTAATCGATTAGATTAAACGTAGCCCAGAACTTACAGCGATTTGAACCAACCGGATAGGATATAGGCGTAGTTGGTTCTGGAGAAGGGATGCGTGAGCTCACGAGGTCTGTGTGCCGTTCGTGTGGGCACACGCAAGGTGCATACTCCATCAGTGTGTTGATATCATCATGTAGTGCGGCTAACTAGCAGCATATCAGTGTGGAAAGACCACATTCATTGTTTGACCTCGGTTTAGTGTCCGGTTGCAACACCACTATGGCGTAGTGATGTCTACTTCATGGTCGTGGCAACTGCTGTCCGATTCTGGGTGTCCAAATTAGGATCATCATCATCAACAACACACATGTAAATTAGAGGCGAGAAACAGCTAACATGCCGCAACGCATTATAATTACATACTAATGAAAGAAAGAGGCAGGAGTAAAAACGAAACAGGATAAAAACAAACACTATCATGCCTTGCTCTACTGTGCACCAGCATCGTGGTTGGAGAGAGGCTAAATGGAGGAATGGGGTAAAGAAACGCACACCACAAACGTCACTGGGGTATGCTCTCTGAGGTGTCAGCAGAAACTAACTTTGGTGAAAGCTTTCATTCCTCTTGACTGTCATCGACCGACAGCACTCCATCTTCGTCCATCCAGAACCAAGTCGCGCAGAGGATACAAGTCGTGGGTGTGGTGTGCGTAACACATGACCTAACCATCTAAGGCTAGTGCGTAAATTAATGGTGTTGAGCGGCTCACTTGCTGTTCCTGTGGCGAACACATTTATTGTTCATGCAGTGTTCCCACCAGATGTGAGGTAAGCTACTAAGGCACCAGTGGTCGAACCCCTTCTACGCCCGTCGATCTGATGGTCCAAGTTTCACAAGCGCATAGTAGGATTGAACGGATGACCGCCTTGTAGACTCTACCCCCCTTCAGGACAAGTGCGCTGTCCTGTTGACGCCATAAGTGGCGAACATAAGCACAAGTACAAGGAGCTTTGCTATAAGGTTTGTCACGTTATCTTTTAGTCCAATGGCGTTGATACAGCTATCCAGGAAGTTAAATTCCTGAACGCGTTCTAATTGATCCCCACTAACGGTCAGAGCAGAAATGAGTCTTGCCGGTCGTGGAGCAAAGTTCCGAAATTCAAAGGTGCAAAGTAGAACAGGAAGCCCATCTGTGATGCCCAGCTGGTTGGCAAATGCGAAATACTACGGTGGATGGCTGTTACCTGATTGATGGAGGAGCGAATATGCAGAACAGGGTAAAACAACATTAAAATAGAGCAGCAAAAGCGGAAACACATCCATGGAAGAGCTAATCGCGATGAACAGGGGGAAGTAAACCCAAGGAAAAAAGACGAGATTGACGCAAAAGCACAGGAGACGCAAAATGGGCCAAGAACGGTTATCTGACCTTGGATATCGTCGTTGAAGATGCAATAATCTTGCTGGTATCGTTGAAGAAGGCGAAATGCATTATGGTTCCCGAAGTCTTCAAATTGAATAAGACAGTCGGTGCCGTATCTGCGGCGAGGAGCAAAACAAAAGCCTTTTGTATTGCCAGCATATAATGAAATAACAGGGAAATAGAGGAGACACAACAATGACGATTGTAAACGGCGTTCCGAATAGAAGTCAGGAGTTAGGATCAGAAGTGAATCAGACATCCAGCCTTCCCTACATGTGTTCGCGAACGGTTACGCGTATATCACCAGACCCTGTTTGCAACCGTCTGAACAGTAGTACGATGATCGATGTATATGTGCCGCGAACGAACACGTTCCATGCGTTTAGTGTGAAACACGAAAAATGCTCCATCATGTTTATCCCGCCAATCAAAGGCGGTAAACGGATGCCCCACGACGCGGTGGAGCACTGTCGATGGACGCCCTGAGGAGTGGAATAACTTGGAATGAGGCGGCATCGGAAGAGAACACGATGCGCAGAGCGGGTAGGCAATTTAGCACCAGGGGGAGGAGTTCGAGGTGAGCTGATTTCTCTGACTCGCTACGTCTCGCACTGTAAGATGCAATAGTTAGACACGCTGAGTTCCACCACGGACTGGATGTTCGGGTTGTAAGGGAAATAACATCAGCCACAGTTACGCAAAAATAAGCCCAGCGACATCTGTCATCATCACCATCAGTCATTTCAACTGATGCTTCGTTGTCGGACAAGCCTAGAAAGCTGGGACGACTTAATCGTCCTGCGTGACGCAGCGATTTAGCCTCCTATGTACAGATAATCAAGTACCCTTTACACGCTGCAACGCCTTTCATTCCTCGTTGTTATCAGGCGTCTAGCCCCAACTCGCATCGCTTCACATTTCCCGCCGACTATCCTTTCACACACACACACACACACACACACACATATATATATATATATATATATATATATATATATATATATATATATATATATATATATAAACATTTATGGCAACAAGGATACACAGTATATACTGTTTCGACGGCTAATCCTTTGTAGCATGGTATTCACTGTTTCTCGAGCGCTTCCAGAGCATTTCCGTCTGGCTGTCTGTTCGGCTGCCAGTTGTCCGTTGCCCTTCTTTCCGAGTGTTTCAGACATGTTGGCTGGCACCTGTGGAACCTTGAACCCTCGCAATGAGGCTGGACCTTACCGTGGTGCGATGGTTTGTGTGCCTCAGTGATCCATTGAGCTATACTGGGTGGTGCTTTTGCACCTTCAGAGCCACTCATACCAGATTGGTCAATGGTTAGAGGCCAGACAAACTCAGCCTCCTGGTCCTCCAGGTTGGGGGTTGGAATGAGGGTGGCTCCTTATTCCTTAAAACGGACTCCTTGTAGTCCAGTGCCAAACCCGCTGCCTTGCGGCCAGGTTTTTGAACCAAAGGCTTTGGTTGAGAACCCTAATCGTTCTCCTGTCTAGACCTGGGCAACCTGACAGTATCCTGCCCACGCAATACAATGAATCCTTCCCCAAACAAATTTCTGATGCTCTGGCCACCGCAGAGGATAATCAACGGTGCCCTATCTGCTGCATCGAGCAGGGTGGATAGGGGTTTGGATGCTACTGCTCAGGCCTTCCCGTCTTCTTATTCCCCTTCTTGCGCTTTTTCACCCTTACCGTCCCGTTCCAGCTTTACTTTTATCCCCCCTGTTTTCAACCCCCCAATTCTCGGCCCTCCCCCACCTTGCTTCAATAGTCGCTTGTCTTTTAGTTTCAACTCACAGGTGAACGCAGAGCGTCATTCCTGCACTGTAAACAGGTCCATGTCCAAGCAAGCGGCCCATTCCAGTTCATCGGCTTCCATTTGGAGCCCTCGATCCTCCTTCAGACTGGCATGCCTCAATGTTCGCACATTGCTTCAGATCGGTCAACAGGCAGCACTTGCCCGAACATTAGAGACCCTCTCGATCGACATCTGCTGCTTATCGGAGACCCGCCTGCAAGACTCGAGCCCAGTACTCACTCTGCGATCCCCTTCAGGTGACACTAGCAGCACTTTCTCATTGCGCCTATCCGGTGACGATGCAGCTTCGAGCACCGGCCAAGCCGGTGTTGGTATTGCCCTGAGTCCCCGGGCTGAAACTGCTCTGGTTGATTGGATTCCAATCAGTAGCCGGATGTGTGCGGTCCGATTGGCTGGCTCGTTTAAAACTTGGAAGTCGCGCGGGACTAACAGGTGTCTATTCGTTATCGCTGCATATGCACCGACAAACTGTAGCGATGACTCGATAAAAGACGACTTCTATCGCCAACTGAACGAACTCCTTCGCCACAGAAGAAGCTCGGACACTGTAGTGCTTGCCGGGGATCTGAACGCTCAAGTTGGAAAATTATCCGCAGATGAGCTGCATCTGGGCGGCCAACATGGTATAGGCTCCCGTAATGATAACGGTGAGCGGTTACTTCATTTGTGTGAGGATGCTCGCTTATTTCTTGCGAGCACTAATTTCCGACACAGCGCCCACCAGCCTCGAACCAGCTATGGACGCAAATCGATCACATTGCTATCAGTTACCGCTGGAGAGGCTGCGTCCAGAACTGTCGCTCGATTTGGAGCACAGGTGTTGACGTCGATCATGCACTTGTATGTGCTGACCTGCGGATGCACTTTGGCGGACGCCCGCGACGATGTTGTGAGCGCATTGACAACGGCAGACTGGTGAATCCAACTGTTCTGAACGCCTATCAAATTACGCTGTCATCCGAGTTGGATAAACGCTCACTGGATGCAATTGAAGGTCACTGGTCTCATATGCAACAGGCCTTACTAGCAGCAGGCAAATCCTCATGTGGTATGGCTAATCGCCAACATGAACATTGGGTCTCTTCACAGTCTTTGGAACTTATAGATGCTCGCCGGCATATTCCGGCTGGAAGCGAACACAATGAAACTCGCAAAGAGCTCCGGGCAAAACTCCGTGCTAGCCTGAAGAAAGACTGCGAATCCTGGTGGTCTCGTCGTGCAACAGAGATGGAAATGGCAACTGCCCTTGGTAACCATCGTGAGTTATTCCGGTTGAAACGGGAAACGGGCAGCAGGAGACCTGGTGTTAGTGAAACTATACGTGACGAGAGTGGACAGCCTGTCCACAATTTATCAAAACGCCTGGAACGTTGGGCTGAGCACTTTGAAAGGCAATTTAATCGGTCGGAATTGTTAGATTTCTCGCCGACCAGTGATCGCCCTGCTCCGTGGGCTGTTCCTTTGGATCCACCCTCTCGCTCAGAAGTCGAACATGAGATCAAACTGTTGAAGTTAAATAAAGCCGCGAGACCTGATGACCTTCCTCCAGCCCTTTTCAAATTCGGGGGACCTGCTCTTGTGGATGATTTACACGAGTTACTAGTGAGACTGTGGGAGCAGGAAACTGTCCCAACCGATTGGATCCGCTCCGTCATAGTCCCAATTTTCAAAGGAGGCTCACGATCGGAATGCGGCAGCCATAGAGGAATCAGTCTGATCTCCATCGCCTCCAAATTGCTTGCCTCTGTCATCCTTCACAGACTGACTGGCACTCGTGAAAGCCAGATTTGCGAAGAGCAAGCTGGATTTCGTCGAGGTCGTAGATGCATTGATCACATCTTCACCTTGCGTCAGTTGTTGGAGCACCGTCACATATATTGGCGGCCCACCGTTGTCGTGTTCCTCGATATCAAAGGTGCATTCGATTCGGTGGATAGACATGCACTTTGGAACTGTCTACTCAGGAAAGGTGTACCTGAGAAATATGTGAATATTATCCAAGCATTATATGCGTGTAGCTCGGGCAGAGTGAGGGCTTACGGCAAGTTGTCGTCGCCCTTTAATATCTCCAGCGGCGTGAGACAAGGATGCCCGCTGTCACCTTTCCTATTCAACTTCGCTGTTGACGAAGTCATGGAAATCGCGTTCACAGGACACGACTTAGAAGTGTGGAGCTACTCCCAGGAGAACGACTTCTTGATTTAGAGTATGCTGATGATATTGCCCTGATCTGTGACAGCTCACAAACGTGCCAAGCGGCACTGGACAGATTAGCACTAGCTGTCCGTCACTTCGGGCTTTGCTTCGCACCCTCGAAGTGCAAAGCGTTTCTCCAAGATTGGTCTGGACCGCCTCCTACGCTGACCCTTGGTGGGGATCAGCTAGAAGTCGTACAAAAATTCAACTACCTGGGAAGTTGTATCAGCGCCCGAGGGATTGAAGATGAGATCACGAACCGTATAGCAAAAGCTCGGGGCGCTTTTGCTAACCTTCGCCACTTATGGCGCCGGCGCGACATCACTCCTGCCCTGAAGGGTAGAGTGTACAATGCAGCAGTACGTTCGACCCTATTGTACGGTTGTGAAACCTGACCGCTTAAAGCAGCGGACCTGAAGAGACTAGTTACGTTCGACCACCGGTGCCTTCGTAATTTAGCTCACGTTTGGTGGGAACACCGCGTGAGTAACGAGCGTGTTCGACGCCTTGTTTATGGCACAGGAAAAGGAAATGAACCGCTCAGCACCGTTATTTCACGCATCAGGCTCCGATGGCTCGGCCACGTGTTACGCATGCCAGCCCACCGACTTCCGCGACGTGTGTTGTTTGCGCGCCGGGGGTGTGGATGGAAGAAGAGGAGGGGTGGCCAAGCGATGACTTGGTCCAGAGGAATGAAGACCCTCACTTCTGAGCTGGCCTCGGTTGGAGCGTCTCGGCTCCCTGGTTGGGGTCCGAAAGACGATGAACACGTTTGGTTGGACACACTTGCTGATATGGCAAGGAGCCGACCTCAGTGGCGTTCGTGCTGTGAGTTTCTTTGTCCCACCCCATCCCTCTTAGCCTCCCCCTCCAACCACGATCTCATTACTTAGCCTTATATAATTTTGCATAATAATTTTTTTTGGGTGCACAGCAGCCGGCTGGTAGCTTACCGGAACGATGCCCACCCGTTACCGGTAGCTCAGCCAGCTTTCACCAGTTGTTTTTTTCTCTCCTTTTTTCTTTGTATTGCGGCACAGTAGCTGAGGTGTTTCCCACCTCTAGCTAACGTGTATGATGATGATGATGA